AAAAAAAAAAACAACAAAAAAACAACAAAATAAAACAAAGGCATTTTATAGCTGGTATACCACAGGTATCCCAGCAATAATTTTTTTGTGAGGTGCGGTGAAAAGGCCTTGAAATGTAGTCCTCAGCCGAAAAACAGAAAATCGCGCCGTTCTCCTAAAATAAAAATCTGATGAAGCTTTTAATGTTTTTCCCATTAATAGTTCATCTGGGCCTACATTTGGGAAAAATATTACTAAGGGGAAAATAATCTAGAAAAAGAAACTTATTTGTTAAGCCTTCTGTAAATAACAAATGTAAGGAAATCTCTTTATTTTAATGACACGTCAATAGACAACTTGTCATTGACCAATGACTTGTTCAGTAACCTGAGGGTCAAGGATGTTTGTTCATTGACATGGCCTTACACTTCTAACTGGGAAGTACTTTTTTTAGTAAACAACAGCTGCAAATCTACTGTACTTTTCCAGTGAAAACGGGTTTTCATCATGTAAAACTTTGTACATGCGTGCTGAAAAAGAGCAGGGTTGTTTACTGTACAAATATATAACTACTTCCTAAGCCTTTTTCTGTTCACTTTTTCAGAATGATCTTACTTATAATTTTAGAATATCTTTAGTGAAATCCGCTCTATACTAGTAAAGTTAGCGAACATCATCGGTAGATTTTCGGGGTCAGCTCTTAGAACTGAGTGCTCGTACTTTTTCCTAAAGTCAACACCTGTCTCAAGCTCTTACGTCATACTTGATCTAACTGGTCTAATCTAGTTTGGCCTAGTATAAACCAGTTATGTGAGGCATTGCGTAAGCTTAGCCCTTAAATACGAGCTCATTCAGAGTTCAGTTCAGTTGGCAGTTGAGTAAGTGAGAGTAAGCGATTAAGAGCTGATAGCACAGAGCACAGCGAAGTAGCAGCTAGTCAAGAGACATAACCAGAGTTCAGATGAGTTCATTGTAAAGTACTACAAGCAACAGAAAATAAAGCAGAAGGAAGCAACTGAAGAACGACCCGAATCCTTGTGTCCGTTGGGAAAGTATCACTCCCCCACTTTCCCTACGTGACAGTAGTCTACGGTCATGTTGATTGATCCTAGCTTCACTCAGAGCGGTAATGTGCTCATTCCTCTCAAGCCGTCTGCCGCTGCTCATCGAGTTCTTAGCAAGATAGCTAGTACCCAGTCCAGACGTCTCTCGATCTTGAACCAATTGTCCTTCAAGATCTGATATTCGTTTTCCTTGACTCTCTAAGAGCGAGATAATCTCCCCAATTTGAGACTCTATTACGGTATCCGAGCCTTTTTACTGTTGAATATTATCTAGGATTTCTTTTATTTTTACCAGTTCTTCTTTTTGTTTCGTGATGTTCTTTTCTAGGATCCCCATCTTTGTTCCCTGGGTCTGCAGGTCTTGTTTGGTATATGCTAAGGCTTCTCTGCTTTCCATCACTTGTGATTCAAGATACTCTTTCTTAGACTCACTCTTCTTGATTTTACCCTTCAATTACTGCATATTTTCAAAAGATTCCTTCTGCTGGTCGCCTAGTATCTGAATATGTTGTGGTATTGCTGTAGACTCGTGTTCTTCGACATCTCCTCGTGATCCCTTTAGGAATAACAAACAAAATAAAGGTTAGTAACTAAACGAAAGAGTAATTTAGATGGAGAATATGAACTGTTGATGAACCGATTGATGATATTTGTAACTATATGTAGTGTAATGTCATCAAAAATTGAAGTTTTCTCAATTATTTGAAATTTTATTTTCTGGCCGGCAATTGATGGTTTTCACGGCGGCCATGTTAGAGGAACTTAACAAAAGAATTGTCGATAAACTCTTTTGTTATATCCTCCTACATGGCTGCCGTGTATTTTGTTGTTTAATTGTCTCTTGGGAATGGTTGAAAACCATCAATACATTATTGTCGCTGGGGAATCGAAGAGCTTTTTTATCGATAAATTTCTTCATTCCCCCCTCCCC